AGCAGCTGGTGCGCTGCCTCGGCCGCTTCCGCTGCCCGGCCGAGGGCGAGGAGGGCGCGGTGGAGTTCCTGGAGCAGGCCCAGCAGGTGAGCGGGCTCCTGGCGCAGCTGTGGCGCGCGCAGCCGGCCGCCATCCTGCCCTGCCTCAAGGAGTTGTTCGCCGTCATCTCCGGCACAGGTGGGTGTGCGCTTTGGCTGGCGTTGGGGCTCGAGGGAGCTCACGTGTGCCAAGGTCCTGGGTGTGCACCAGGGCAGGTGCACATTCTTCTGCTTGGGGTGCCCATGTGCGGTGTGGTATGTGTGTGCCACGGGCGAATGCACATTTAATTAGCATGCCTATGCGAAGCACCTGCTGTGGGTCCTGTCCTGCGATGGGTGCTGGTGCACGGGGAGGAGCAGTCTGCCAGGTGTGGGAAAAGATCATTCTGGCCAGAAGGAGGACCTGGGGGCTGAGCAAGACAACAGGAAGGAGGACATCATGTCCTTTGGGTCAGGTGGGTTTCTAGAAGTGGTGCCTTTTGAGCCAGATCTTGGAGAGGTGGGCAGCACCAGACAGCAGGGGCCAGATGCTCTGGCCAGGCACAGGGAAGGTCTGGAGATGCAATGGAGCCTGTAGGTGTCAAACTCTGAAATGTAAAATGTTGGCCCTCCATTGAGAACTGGTACTTGAATTATAGTGTAAATGACTGAAATAAGATCTATGCCTTCCCTGCTTATAGGGCTGTTTAGGAGAAAGGAAGGTAATGGATCTGGCAGCAGGAAGAACCAAGGCTGGGTGTGTAAGGACCTGGGTCCTCATACAATTGGACAACAAATTTTGATGACTAAATGTTCTTTCTCACCTCTAGGCCTTTGTCTGTGTGGTTCCAGATGGAGTGTCCTCCCTCTCCCCAAGTCCATATAGGCCTCCTACCTGCTCTTGCCAACTCCAATGTTACCCCTTCTTAGAGGCCTTGCCTGTACACCCGCAGATGGGGTCAGTGCTTTTTTTGTGTGTGTGCCTAGCGCAGGGCTGGGTTCAAAGCAGTGCCAGTGAAGGTTTGATGAGTGAATGAGTTAAGATTGAATCAGAGGCTGTGATGCTGAGGAGGTGGCCTGGATGTGCTTTTTGCGGAGGCCCAGCCTAGTTCCTTTGGCAGCATGAGAGCATCGGGTGGTAGGGGAGGGGAGGGGCACCTTGCTAAGCTCAGCCCTGCTAAGCTCAGCCCAGCCTCCTGTTCCAGAGGAGGAGCCACCGTCTAGTGCCCTGGCCAGCGTGGTCCAGCACCTCCCATTGGAGCTCATGGATGGTGTCATCCGGAACCTCAGCAATGACGACAGTGTGACGGACTCTCAGATGCTGACTGCCATCAGCAGGTGGGCTGAGGGCCCAGTATTGGTCAGGTCTCTCTCCTTCCCAGAAGTCCCTTCCTCTGGGTGGAGTTGCTGGGCTAGATTTAGTGTTTAAGGGCCCAGGTTCTCATGCTTGTTCATTCATCCATCTGTTCTTGAGCCCTGCTTTGTGCCTGCCCAAGGCTGGATGTAGGAGACACAAAGAGCTCTGCCCTAGTGATGTTCCCAGGCTGGGGACTAGTTGTGAGGCCCTGGGCAGGTCAGTGAATTCTCTGAGCCTCAGTTTCCCCTTCTGTAATAGCAGGTGTGGGTGGTGGTATAAGAAGTCAGGCTTCCATGGGGTCGTATTAGAAGGTTAAATTTTTTACAAAGTGTTTTATGAGTTTGGCAGGTATGATAGGTGGAGTTTGGGTGCTTCTCAGCTCACCGAGCTCCTGCACATCCCTCACCTCATTTAAACATCATGCCTGTGATCTAGCTATACCTGCTTGTCCAGTAATTGCAGAAAATGCCGCCTACCCTCCTGCCTGCAGGCCTTTGGCTCTGCAGACCCCATTCACCTGGCATGCCATCCCCTGCCATTCTTTCCATACTCGTATACAGATCCACTGTCTCCATGGGGCCTCCTGGAGTCCTAGCCTTTAGTGGGTAAGAGTGTGGGTGCTAGAGGTATGCTGCCCGAGTTCAAATCCTGGCTCTACCACATCTGGCCTATGTGACTATGGGCAAGTTACTCAACTTTCTCCATGTTCCAGCTTCCTCATCTATAAAATACAGTATAACTGAACCCATCTTATAGGGTTGTTTTGAGAATTAAATTAGATAAAATCAGATAATATGTGTTAAGTGCCTAGAAGCAGTTATCATCATAGTTACTGTTACTTTGTTTTCACATTGTTTTACCTCTCTATAGTACAGTTTACTGAGTATGAAAACAGTAATAATGACATTTTCTTGGGCACCTACTAGGTGGCAGCTTTATGCTCAGTGCCCACAGACATTATGTTGTGGGAGTCAGGTGGGTTGATACATGTAGGGCAGGTAGAGCAGTGCCTGGTGCAGAGTGAATATTACATAAGTGTTCACTATTATCTTTTAATTCATACAACCCTGTTGTTGGTAGGCATTGTCCCCATTTTACAGAGGAAGAAACTGAGGCTGAGAGAGTGACTTGCTCCAGTTCACAAGCCATGGTTTGCTGGAGCCAGAGCTTCTGGTCCCGGGCGCCAGTGCTCCTCCTGCCATTGGGCCCCAGGGTCCAGGCAGAGGCATTGTGTGTGGGGGTAAGGTTTGGGATGCTGAGAGGGCCAGGCTCCCCTCCTACTGGGCTGGGAGTCCCAGTCTCTGCCAGCTGCCTGTGCTGGGCTCATTTGCTTGTTCACCCTAGGGCTGCCCTGTGTAGAGTGAGTTATTGTGGGGCCTCAGGACATTATGACTAGTTCCTGGGCTGCCACCACCCAGACATTTGGGCCTCCCTGGTCCCTGTGTCACTGTCATCCCCTCACCAGGATGATCGACTGGGTGTCCTGGCCCTTGGGGAAGAACATTGACAAGTGGATCATTGCACTGCTGAAGGGCCTGGCTGCAGTTAAGAAGTTCAGCATCTTGATTGAGGTTTCACTCGCCAAAATTGAGAAGGTTGGTGGGCCCCTGTCCTGGCCCCTGTTTGTGCCCTTTCCTGCTAGTGCCTTGCCAGGGCCATTGCAGGCCTGAGAGGCAGAGTACTGGGGCTCCCACCCAAACTCTCTGTGACTGAGGACAATTCGCTGCCCCTCTCTGAGCCTCAGGTTCCCGTTCTTCCCTCTGACTGCGCATTCAAGCATGTATGTTACTTTTGGTGTGTCCGTTCATCCATCCACCAGATATCTATCTAACTACCTTGCTGTCCATTTCACCATCTGTCTGTCCATCCACTGGGGTCTGTGAGCACCTCCATGTTCTTGCTCTGGCATGAGTCTGCTGCTTCAACTCCAGGGTCTCTGATCCTCCTCAGGCCTGTGGCTGCACTTGGCCTTGGGTGGCCCAGGCCTTGGGAACTCCTGATGAGGGACTCTCTTCCAGGTTTTCTCCAAGCTTCTGTACCCTATTGTCCGTGGAGCTGCCTTATCTGTCCTCAAGTACATGCTCCTGACGTTCCAGCATTCCCACGAAGCCTTCCACCTGGTAAGGGCCCATCCCTGCTGCGTCCTGGCTGGTCTGGCTGTAGACGAGACAGGCTGTCTCTGTTGGGAGTTAAGGGATCAGAGCTTGAAGCCCAAACCTTTGAAGATCTGGATGTTGGGACTGGAGAATACTTGAGACCCCAATTTATAGATAGAAAACTGAGGCCAGAGAATTTGTATGGCCTCCCCATGGGCCCCTAGTAGAGGGACGAGCCTAGAATGATGACAGCTAACGTTCCCTGGATAACAGCTGTGTGCTGATCTCAGTGCTTTAGCAGTACACATGGTACTTACTTAGCTCCCAGAACAGCCCCAAGAGGTTCTGTCATTTTCTCCAGTTTTCAGCTGAGGAAACTGAAGTTTAGGGAGGTTAAATCCCTTCCCAGACACATAGCTAGTGAGCAGTATGGGGAGGATTCTAGCCAAGTTGTTCTGACTCCTCACCCAGTGCCCTTTCTGTACCCTGCTGCCTGCCAGCATCCAGGTGGCCTGGCCTCCAGCTCAGGGTCCTTTCTGCTGGCATCAGATCCTCCCTTGGGAAGGGCAGCCTGTGGTCCCGGGGGCTACCTTCCCCTGCCTGCGTTCTGTGGACCTGCAGGTGGGGCAGTAGATTCTGATGGCCCCTGGTCAGGGCAGACGCTTCCTACTTCCCTATATGCTGCCATGAGAGAAGCACAGAACCAGGGGCTAGGGTGCTTGGGGTTGAGTCCCAGCTCTGCTCTTTGCCAGCCATGGTGACCTTGGGCCAGGCACCTACATCTCATAGCCTGAACAGAGATTAACCCCCAGGATGGTGGGAGAGGGTTAGATGAGGTGATATTTGTCAAGAGCCTGCCATGTACTAGGGACTTGACGGATGTTGGTTTCTTTCCACCCCTTTCCTTGGCTCTTTCTCCTAGTTCCTGTGGCCTGACACTGTCCATCCCTGGGACATTCTGGCCTCACACTTCCAAGGGTTTGAAAGTTAATATTCTGTAGCACAAAGGAAAGAAATAGGCTTTGGACTCAGATCTGATTCAGATACCAGCTCCTCCCATAACCCACGATGAAATCCTCAGAAAATTATACAACCTCTCTACAACTTCTTCATCCAGAAAGTGGGGACAATAATCACAGCCACATAAAATTATTGTGGGGACGAAGTGCTTGACATGTATGTTTGGTGAAAGAATGATGGTATTTGTTCTTAGAGGTGGCCACTCAGGCTCTGTCAGGGCTGTCTAGCAGCTGGCCACGTGGCGGCCCCAGCATCACTCCGGTGGGCACAGAAGCCATAGTCACTCAGGCCTTTGGGCAGGTTAGTTGAGGCTTAATAGCCAGGGCTTGGGCTCAGGCTTCCCCTCAGCTGTGAGGGGGGAATTATTGATCCCATGTTATGGCTGAAGAGACTGAAGCAGGGTGTCCAAGGTCACAGATCTTGTGAGGGGAGTCACCTGCCTGCAGAGGTCATAGCCCCATGTAGGGTAAGGGGGACAGTGGTCAGGTGGGCAAATCTCTTGCCTCAGGGAGCTCTGTGAGTGTTCAGCAGTGAGCAGCATACCGTGTCTCAGGTGGGTAAACGAGCTGAGCCTGACTCCACTCTGCTCCCACAGCTCCTCCCTCACATCCCTCCCATGGTGGCCTCTCTGCTCAAGGAGGACTCCAACTCAGGGAGCAGCTGCCTGGACCAGCTGGCAGAGCTGGTCCACTGCATGGTGTTCCGGTTCCCGGGCTTCCCGGACCTGTATGAGCCCATCATGGAGGCCATCAAGGTGAGTGACAGTCCCCCACTGCTCCCTCACTCCACTTTGACAAGAGCGTCAGTTGGGCCCTGCTCAGGGCCATGCTTCAGGTTGGTGGCAGCCCCCATCATTTGGTCTGTGGCTGTCTCCCTTCACCACCTCCAGCCCATCCTGTGCTTCAGGCACAACTGAGCCACCTGTCATTCCCCAGACGGGTCCTCCTCTCATGATTGCTCTGAGCCTATTCATATGCCGTTCTCTCTTAATTATAAATCCTTGTTCTTTCTGAATAGCTCCTACATATCTTTTAAGGCTCTGCTTAAGTGTTAACCTCCCTCAGGAAGCCCTCGCTGATAATTCTTAATACCTTCCTGAGGTTGGCCCCCACCAGGCTGGGTCAGGGTTTCTCTGGGCTCCCACAGCCCCAGGGCATTGCTCTGTCACACATTGCTACTGAGTGTGTCTGTGTGTCTGTCTTCCCTACCAGACCGTGAACACTCCAGAGCAGGTATTATTTACAATTATTTACATGACTTTACTGATACCCTACTCTGTGCCAGGTACAGACTGGGAACTGAGGACACAGCCATGAGTCACCTCCATTGAGGAGCTTTTAGCCTGGGATGGAGGTGACAGACTTCTATAAAAGTAGCTCTAATATAAGCAGCTTATGAAACACCTCTGAGGGTCAGGCAGGAGCAGTGAGAACCCAGATGAGGGAAAGACCTCCAGTTAGAGGAAGAAAGGGATTCTGAACTGGGCCGGCTGAGTTGCTAGGACCATAACTAGCATCTGTAGCTGGTGCCACATTTGACAATGTTTTCCCATGTATTTTCTCTTCTGATGCTCACAAGAAGCCTATCAAGCAGATACTATCGTTATTTGTTTCATAGATGAGGAAAATGATGTTTGGTGATTTGTGCAAAGTCACAGAGATAGTGAGAGACACAGCCAGGACTGGGTTTCTTCATACAGAGGGCAAGCCCAAGCATGGGTGAAAGATGTCTAGGTAGGTGAAGCATGTCTAGGTAGATGGAGGCTCTTTCAAAACCTCTGATCTGACTTCAGTTTTGCAGCGCAGCAGGTAGATAACCTGAAAAGTGTCCCACTACAAGACACCACTTTAAATGCTTTAAAATATAACAAATGTCTTTTTAAGTACATAGCTGAACTTGCAAGAAAGTAAGGGGGAATCTGAAAGAGCAAAAAGAGAAGAGAAAACTGAGTTCCAGGGTGCTAAGAGAGATGATGCTCTTTTGCGCTGGGGTGGGGAGGGAGGGTGGCTAACTTCAGTCACCAAGTGGCTTGAGTTAATGAGGATAGGAGGTGAGGCTTAGGGCCTGTCCCTAGTAGGGAGTTTGCACTAAGAGGCCCACATAAGCCAGGACCCAAGAAAGGCTTAACTGTTAGCAAGAGTTGATCCAGAAAAAATATGCACATGGTCCCAAATAGATGTTTCAGAAACTTTTCTGACTTGGTCTGGACTCTGCTTTGGAAAAAAACTTGCAGTTAGTGGCCTACCCTCATGTTAGTATAAAGGTTCAGATTCATACTATCTTAGGTTTGTGGGACCCCTAAGCTCAGGCACTAACGTTAAAAGTAGTTGTAAACTTGTAATAACCAAGGTTGCCTAGTTGAAACAAAAGAAACAGCTTTTAAACCACAAAGATAAGATTCTACTGAAGATGAGTTTATAATCCAAAAATTACAAAACATTCAAGGAAACAATCCACTGGAGTGAGAGCTGGTAGATGCTACAGACAAAACCTCGGGTGTTTACTTGTCTCTTCTCAGTTTTTTCAACTTAACATGAGAAAGAGTTTAGTAGAGCTCACCTGCAAAAGAAGGGGCTGCCTTGCTAGGTTGTGAGCTGCCTGTCACTGGAGGTGGATGAGCAGAGGAGACAGGGACTTCCACTTATTGGAAGTGACTACTACTGTTTCCTGCTAGATTGTGAGCTTCTGGTGGGCAGGGATACATGTCATTTTGTTCTCTGTTCCCAGTAAATAGTGAGTGAGTGAATGTGACTGTGGTGTGAAGAATGCTATCATGGAGGTGTGAACCAAGAGGAGGGCCCTGCCCTGGGCACTGAGTGAGACCCAGTGTGCACACTAGGGATTGTGGTCTGATCTGGAGGACAAGGTGAGTCTGCCAATATCTGTACCACTAGGTACAGGGAGGTAGTCTTTATAAGACAGGTAGAGATAGTGTGGGGAACCCCATTTGAGAAGATCCTGGAAATACTTAGCAGGGATGGGGAACGTCAGGCCTGTGGGTCGTATATGGCCCGCAAAATCATTTGGCCTGGCCCTGCCAAGGCAACCGCAGGCAGGACTTGAAATTCAATAAATGTAGGACCTTTTTTCATGGCTAATTTTTATTTTATTTTAAATATATCTTTATTGATTTCAGAGAGAGGAAAGGAGAGGGAGAGAGAGAGAGATAGAAACATCAACGATGAGGGAGTCACCAATCAAGCCCACAACTCGGGCATGTGCCCTGACCGGGAATTGAACACCCAATCGCCTGGATCCTAGGTCGATGCTCAACCGCTGAGCCATGCCCGGCCGGGCCCATAGCTAATTTTTAAGTTGATAATTTTGTATGGCTCACGAATGATGTTATAAACATCCAAATGGCCCTTAGCAGAAAAAAGTTTCTGACTTAGAGGATAGGGGTTAGACCCTGAGGGATGGGGACTGGCAGAGGGAAAGGTGTAGGGGTAGGCATGTGCAAGTCCAGTTTGGCGGTAATGTGTTGGTGGCATGGAGGGGAGACCAGTAAGATCAGCAGAGCAGAGGGCCTGGGCAACCAGGTTGGGTGACTCTGCTTAATCCAGCAGATCTGGGTTTTTCGGACTTTTCTACTGAAGTACTTGATGTCAGAGGAGGGGACTTACCTCAGGCAGCCTGACACGAGGTCAGAGTTTCTCTAAAATCTCATTTTACTTCAAAGAGTCAAGTAATTTCATAATTACATTTGTTTTAACATAAACACATTTCTCCTTGACTATTAGAGAATGTAGCTCCAGGAAGATGTCCTTCTTTTGTCCTGTGGCTTTGAATACCCCTTGGTATAAGCCAGTTTGTACCAAGCAAATCTGCAGGATATTATTGTTTGTAAGATTCTTTCATGTGTGTTCTAGGAATACATCCTTCTTTGTATCTAGGCTCCTTTATAAATAAATTCTGGGAAGTTCTCTTACATATGTATTAGGTTATGGCAGTTTCTGTGGGAGCTGTGGTCATTACTAAGCGAGCCGTGGTTTGTAAATTTCCAGTAAAGTTAGGAGCTTAAGAGTTATTTGGAAGTTCTTGTTTTATTTTCCTAAGAGGACAAAGTTACCTTCTATGGGAAAATGGAATTGGATGTTGTTTTTCTAGTGTGGCTATTTTTGCATCTTCTGTGTGCACGTGTGTGCATGTGTGGGTTTCTGACTACAGTGGTACCTCGGTTTTCGAACATCTCCGTTGACGAACATTTTGGTTTATGAACACTGTAAACCCGGACGTATATGCTTCGGTTTTCGAACATGCCTCTGAAGTCGAACATGCCACATGGCTTCCGCTGAGTGCAAGATCCTGAAGCCTAGCTGTCAGCTGTTCATCCCTCGGTTTTTGAATGTTTCAGAACTCAAAAGGTCTTCCGGAACAGATTACATTTGAAACCCGAGGTACCACTGTATCTGCCTTTTTGTCCCTATTTGTTAGTGCTGTGTGTGGAGTGGGGATTGGATAGGGGAAAATAGGAAGAAGAAAGAACGGACTAAGAGACCATACTGAGCCCATATTTTATTTCACCTCTGGCAGCTCCTACATTTTTTTAAATGATCTGTGAGAGGTGACTGACTAATCTGATAAATTACTGGATAAGTGATCCTGACAAATGACTGAACAGAAGTGTTGAACCAGCGCTTGAGCGGGACCTGCTGCAGTGGCCAGAGGATGTATGCTTGGGAGACAACGTGCTTTCGGTGCTAAGCTGGTTTGAAGCTCTGCAGCCTTGTGTGTATATAGGGACTGTGCTCAGGATCTGGAAATAAGAGCAGGGCTAGAGGAACTATTAGGAATATTGCTTTTGTCTCCTAAGTAACTCTACATTATGTTTAGGTATTTTGCTTTAAAATATATCATCATTAGAACCAGTGTTTGGTAGTATTCTTTTAGGTGCGGCTGTTTAATATGTAAAGGATAATAAGTGGGAAAGCTTGCTAATCCTCTGCCTGTGACCAAGGACCCAACCTCAGACCCCCAGGATCCTCCCACCATCCTGACTATAGGATCAAGGTCCAGGGGGGTGGGGGACTAACTCACAAAAGCTGACGGTGAGGCAGGAGCACTACTGTGTGTGAGCACCGTGAGAGTATAGAGTGCCAAAGTGACACCAGGGAGGAGTATCCTCACTTGACAGGTGAGGAAACTGACTCTGAGAGGCTCACTGGCCATGGCCAGACAGCCTGTGAGGACAAGAGGCAGGACTAGGATTGAGGTTCTGACAATGCTGGATCTGGCCTGTGGGCCTATGTTGTCATTCCTCAGAGTCTCTCATACTCTGGGCTCTTCTAAGAATGTACAGATTCTTCGCTTACTGCCTGTATGTCCCTGGAAAATTCTTTATCTGAGTGTTAGGTTCTTCATCTGTTAAATGGGGATTTTACCACCTTCTTAAGGCAATTTGTGACAGGAAAGATCATGTAGAAGGCCCCTACGTCAAGGTGAGAACCTAGAGTAAGTTTAAAAGCAGGAGGCTATTCATACACATCTCTAGAGCATTTGTGGGGCATTGTGCTTGGGTGGGTGTGGAGTAGGCTGTAGTCCAAGAAGACTTCCCAGAGGGGGTGATATTTTTAGAGCTGACCCTGGTGCCCACTCTCCTGCCGGCTTGTTCCCTCCTCAGGACCTCCATGTTCCCAATGAGGACCGCATCAAGCAGCTACTGGGGCAGGATGCCTGGACCTCACAGAAGAGCGAGCTGGCTGGCTTCTATCCCCGGCTCATGGCCAAATCAGACACGGGCAAGATTGGTTTAATCAATCTGGGCAACACATGCTACGTGAACAGCATCCTTCAGGCCTTGTTCATGGCTTCTGAGTAGGTGCTGCTTTTGAATTCCCTGTCTACCTGCTGCTTCTCTCATTTGTTCTCCCAGGTAGATGGGGATGGGGATGGGGGTTGGACGAGGTGAGTCCTGCTTTGCACTGTTGGCATAATTCCCTACATGAAGGACAGGCCCGAGGGGCCCAGAGGTCTCCAGGCCACTGCCAAGGCGGTAGGTCAAGACTGGGTGGGAACTGGAGATGGGGCTCCAGGGACTGGGCTGCGTGGGAAGCGGGGCTGCTCTGCGTTGGTGGGCATCACTGACTTTTCTCCTAGAGTCCATGGGCTGGGTAGTGTTTTCCAGAGTAGGACTCCCCTGGTATTGGCCCCCCTTTCTACCCCCCTTTACTAAAACAAAATTTTACTGTCAGTGGCTTACTTAAAAATCACTCAGGGTTTCAGCCACAGAAGTACACCTCTTTCTTTTTCCCTCTAATTTTCTTTTTTTTTGTTGTGTATGTTAAAATACACCTAATATAACATTTACCATCTTTTTTGTTGTTGTTTTTGTTTTTTTTGATATATCTTTATTGATTTCAGAGAGAGGAAAGGAGAGGGAGAGAGAGAGAGAGAGAAACATCAATGATAAGAGAGTCATTGATCGGCCCAAGCCTGCAACCCGGGCATGTGCCCTGACCGGGAATCGAACCCCGATTGCCTGGATCCTAGGTCGATGCTCAACCGCTAAGCCATGCCCGGCTGGGCAACATTTACCATCTTAAACATTTTCTGGAAGTTCAGTGGTATAAATACATTCATGTTGTGCAGCCATCACCGCCATTCATCTCCATAACTTTTCATTTTGTAAATCTGAAACTCCATACCAGTTAAACAATAACTTCCCCATTTACATTCTCTCCTTCCCCTGGCCACCGTTGTATTTTCTGTCACCAATTTTGTCTCTATTTAAGTACCTCATATAGGTGGAATCGTTCAGTATTTGTCTTTTTGTGATTGGATTATTTCCCTTAGCAGATATGTCTTCAAGGTTCCTCCATAGTGTAGCGTATTGCAGAATTTCTTTCCTTTTAACAGCTAAATAATATTCTATTGTATGTATAAGCCACATTTGGTAATCTATTCATTGGTTAGTGTACACTTGAGTGGCTTCCATGTTTTAGCTGTTGTGAAATGGTGCTATGAACATGGGTATACAAATACTTCTTTGAGACCCTGCTTTTAATTCTTTTGAGTATATACCCAGAAGTGGAATTGCTTGGTCAATAATTGTATTTTTAAATTTTGAGGAACCTCCATACTGTTTTCCATAGTGGCTGCACCATTTTACATTCCTACCGATAGTGCCACATGGTTCCGGTTTCTCCACATCCTTGCCATCACTTATGAACACCTTTTCAGTTTTTACTGGCCATTTGTATATTTTTTTTAGAGAAGTGTCTATTCAAGTCTGTTGCCCATTTTTGAATTGGGTTTTTTTTGGTTGAGTTTTGGAGTTCTTTTTACATTCTGGATATTAATCTCTTATCAGAGACATGATTTTTCCATTTTGTGGAGATTTTTTTCCTTTTTGCTATTGAAAGAGGTTGCTTTTATTTAATTAATTTATTGTTTATTGAGATATAATTGACATTAACATTAATTTCGGATGTACAACATAATTTGATATATGTGTATTTTACTAAATGATCACCACAGTAAGTCTAGTCCATCACCACACATTGTTACAAATTTTTTTCTTGTGATGGAAACTTTTAAGATTTACTCTTAGCAACTTTCAAGTACACAATACAGTATCATTAACTATCGTCACCATGTTGTACATTACATCCCCAGGACTTACTTATTTTATAAATGGAAGTTTGTACCTTTTGACCTCCTTCACCCATTTTGCCCACTCACCACTGCTCACATCTGGCAACCAACCATTTGTTCTCTGAATCTGAGTTTGGTGGTGGTGGTTTTTTTTTTTGAGATTCCACATATAAATTTGACCAAACAGTATTTGTCTTTTTCCTGTCTGACTTATTTCACATAACAAAATGCCCTCCAGGTTCATTTAATTGTAAAAAATGACAGGATTTCTTTTCTCATGGCTGAATAATATTCCATTATATATATATTCATTTTGATAGTTTGTCATTGGTGTATAAAAATGTACTAGATTTTTGAATATACACACACACTCACACATATATAAACTTTATCCATTCATCTCTCAGTGGACACAAGTTGTTTCCATATCTTGGCTATTATAAATACAGCTACAATGAACCTGGGGGGTGCATATATCTTTTCAAGTTAGTGTTTTTCTTTTCTTTGGATACCCAGAAGTTGAATTGCTGGAACATATGGTAGTTTTATTTTTAATTTTTTGAGGAACATCCATATTGTTTACCATGGTGTCTATACTAATTTACATTCCCACTGACAGTGCACGAGATTCCCTTTTCTCCATATCCTTGCCAGCACATTTCTTGTCTTTTTGATAATAGCCATTCTAGCAGGTATGAGGTGATACCTTATTGTGGTTCTGATTTGCATTTCCCTGATGATAAAGAGCACCTTTACATGTACCTGTTGACCATATGCATGTCTTCTTTGGAAAAATGTCTGTTCAGATCCTCTGCCTATTTTTTAAATCAGATTATTTTTTTGCCATTGAATTATATGGGTTCTTTATGCATTTTGGATATTAACCCCTCATCAGATATATGATTTGGCAAATGTTTTCTCTCATTCATAGGTTGCATTTTCATTTTGTTGATGGTTTTCTTTGCTGTGCAGAAGCTTTTTAGTTTGATGTAGTTCAACTGTTTGTTTTGCCTTTTTGCCTTTGCTTTTGGTGTTAGATTCAAAAACATCATCGCCAGGACCAATGTCAAAGAACTTGTAGCCTATGTTTTCTGATAGGATTTAGATGTTTTCAGGTCTTGCATTCAATTTTTCATTCATTTTGAATTGATATTTGTGTATGGTGTAAGATGGTGGTCCAGTTTCTTTTGTACATAGCTGTTCAGTTTTTCTAACACCATTTATTGGAAAGAATGTCCTTTTCCCACTGAATATTTTTGGCTCTTTTGTTGTAAAATAGCCATATCTTGGCTATTAAAAATACTGCTACAATGAACCTAAGGGTGCATATATCTTTTTAAGTTAGAGTTTTTCTTTTCTTTGGATATCCAGAAGTTTAATTGCTGGAACATATTCATGACCATATATGCATAGGTTTATCTCTGGAGACAGTCTATTCTGTTTCACTGATTGGTGTGTATGTTTTTACGCTAATACCAAACTGTTTTGATTACTGTAGCTCTGTAATATAATTTGAAATCAGGAAGCATAACGCCTCCAGCTTTGTTCTTCTTAAGATTGCTTTGGCTATTCAGGGTCTTTTGTGGTTCCATACAAATTTTAGGATTTTTTGCTTTCTATTTCTGTGAGAAATGCCTTTGGAATTTTGATAGGGATTTCATCGAATCTGTAGATTGCTTTGGATAGTATGGGCACTTTAACAATGTTAATTCTTCCTATCCATAAGTACAGTATATCCTTTCATTTATTTGTAGCTTCTTCAGTTTATTTTTTCAATGTCTTAGAGTTTTTCAAGTACAGGTCTATTACCTCCTTTCTAAAATTTATTCCTAGGTATTTTATTTATTTTTTGATGGAATTGTAAATGGGATTGGTTCTTAATTTCTTTTTGACAGTTTGTCTTTGGTGTATAAAAATGCACTAGATTTTTTAATATTAATTTTGTATCCTGCTACTTTACTGAATTCATGTGTCAGTTCTAATAGTTTTTTTTGATAGAGTCTTTAGGGTTTTCTAGTATGTCATTTGCCAATAATGACACTTTTACTTCTTTTTTTCCAATTTAAATGCCTTTATTTCTTTTCCTTGTCTGATTGTTGTGACTAGGACTTCCAATATTATGTTAAATAAAAGTAGTGAAAGTGGACATCCTTTTCTTGTTCCTGATCTTAAGGAAAATGCTTCTAGTTTTTCCCTGTTGAGTATGATGTTAGCTGTGGGTTTGTCATATATGGTTATTATGTTGAGGTATGCTCCCTTTATTCCCACTTTGCTGAGAGTTTTTGTTATAAATGGGTGCTGGATTCCGTGAAATGCTTTTTCTGTACCTAGTAGTATGATCATATGGTTTTTATCCATTTTGCTTGTGGTTTATCACATTAATTGATTTGTGGATATTGAACCAACCTTTCATCCAGGAATAAATCCCACTTGATCATGGTGTATGATATTTTTAATGTATTACTTTTTATATCTAGGTGCTTCTACATTGGGTGCATAAATGATTACAAGGGTTATATCCTCTTGTTGGATTGATCCCTTTGTGATTATGAAATGTTCTTTGTCTTTTGTGATAGCCTTTGTTTTAAAGTCTATTTTGTTTGATGTTAGTATTGGTGCCCCAGCTTTTTGTTCATTTCCATTTGCATGAAATATTTTTCTATCCCTTCACTTTCAGGCTGTGTGTGTCTTTCGATTTGAAGTAGGTCTCTTGCAGGCAACATATGTATGTGTCTTGTATTTTTATCCATTCAGCCACCCTACGTCTTTTGATTGGCTCATTTAGTCCATTTACACTTAAAGTTAATATTGATAGGTATGTAGTTATTTCCACTTTATTATTCACACTTTTGATCTTTTTGGTTTTTTCTTCTTCTTAAAGAAGTCCCTTTAACATTTCTTGTTATATCAGTTTGGTGGTGATGAACTCCTTTAGCTTTTTCTTGCCTGGGAAGCTTTTTATTTATCCTTTAATTTTAAATGATAGCCTTACTGGGTAGCATGATCTTGGTAATAGATCCTTGATTTTCATCACTTGGAATATTTTGTGCCACTCCCTTCTGGCCTGCAAGGTTTCTGTTGAGAAATCAACTAATAGTCATGTGGGAGCTTCCTTATAGGTAACTAACTGCTTTTCTCTAGTGGCTTTTAAGATTCACTTTGTCTTTAACCTTTGGCATTTTAATTATGATGTGTCTTGATGTGGGCCTCTTTGGGTTCCTCTTGTTTGGGACTCTGTGCTTCCTGGACTTGTGTTCAGGTTTTCAATCCTTTGTTCTTTCCTTTTCTGATACCACTATTATGTGAGAGTTGTTTCATTTGGTAAGTTCTCAGAGGTCCCTTAACCTGTCCTCATATTGGTCATGATTCTTTTTTTCTTTTTGTTCTGATTGGGTGTTTTTTACTCCCTTGTCTTCCAAACCACTGATTTGACCCTCTGCTGCAATTAATCTGTCGATTCCCTCTGATGTACTCTTCATTTCAATTATTGCATCCTTCCTTTGTTTTCTATCTTCATTTTTGTTTCCTATCTCTTTGTTAAAGTTCTCAATGAGTTCATCTACTCTTCCTCTAAGTTCATTGAGCATCTTATAACCAGTATTTGAATTCTGCATCTGGTAGATTGCTTGTCTCCATTTAGTTTAGCTCCTCTTCCAGAGTTTTATCCTATTCTTTCTTTGGGACATATTTGTCTCCTCATTTTGGCTGATTCCTTGTTCTTGTAGATATGTATTAAGTAGATCTGTTATATCTCCTGGTGTTGGCAGAGTGGCTTTATGTAGTAGGTGTTCTGTGAGGCCCTGTGGCATAGTCTCCCTGATTACCTGAGCCGGGTGCTCTAGAGGTGACCCTTGTGTGGGTTGTGTGTGCTCTTCTGTTGTAGTTGAGTTTTGATTGCTGTTGGCTGGTCAGAGAGATTTACCCTCAGGCTGATTGGCTGTGAGGAACGGCCGAGCCTACAGCAGATGAGCTGTTGTGCAGAGGCTGATCCCATGGAGTAGGATTCACTTTAGTGGGACTCTGTTGCCTGCTGAGTCTGCCCTTTGGGTGTGTTGTTTGTGGAGATGGTTGGGTGGGGCTCTGGTATGGTCTGAAGCTGGCCACCAGGTGTGTTGGTTTGGGAGCCTCTTGGGGGGGTCTCTGGTACAGGCCAAATTCAGCTACTGCTTATGCCTGTTCTAGAGCCACCTGGTAGAAACTACACAGTGATCTGAAGATGGGGCCGGTGCTGGGCTTGGAGGTGCCTCAGAGAGGCTAAATTGTGAACTGAGGCTGGCTGCCAGTACTGCTGGATTTGGAGCCACTTAGCAAGAGGAGCAGTGGCAGGGGCCCTGAGAAAGGGCTTTAAGAGCAGACTTCGAGGGCTGAGGTTGGAGCAAGGTCTGCTGCTCTCAGTGGATGTGAACACCATTTCCCAGGGAAGCAGGGCAAAGTGTGTGAGTGGCTGGTGGTAATATTGGCATGGACTCTGGAGCCTGCCAGAGAGATCCAGTCATAGAACCTTGGGACCATAGGATCAAGGACATTCAAATCTTTGAATCCTGGCATCATGGGCTGTGAGAAGTGGAAGGGACAGCAGGGATCACCTCATTGTCCAAGCTGAACTGTTCACTTGCTCCTCCCCTGCCCCGGACTTGAGCTGCAAGTGTCTCTTCTGCCTTTAAGCCTGGAGACTGAGGGTTGTCTGCAATGTGGGCAAGTATAGGCCCCTTTGGCGCCCTCGGCTTACCCCAGTGCTCCTGCTTTGTTTTGAAGTTTCAGACACTGTGTGCTCCGTTTGACTGAGAACAACTCACAGCCCTTGATGACCAAGCTACAGTGGCTCTTTGCTTTCCTGGAGCACAGCCAGGTGAGTGCAGAGGGAGTTGGGGTGTGGTGGAGAGGAGGCTCTGGGCTGACACCCCAGGATCCACCTGCATCTAGCGATAGGCCCCACTTCCTGGTGTAGGAGCCCCAGTCTGGACTGGTCTGGGTTTATGGCCAGAGCCCATGGAGCCAATTCAGTGCCCTTACCTGACAGAAGAGGGGCTGCCTCCTTAAGCCCTCTTCTATGCTGTGCTGCCCACCAGCGATTCAGTCCATTGCTTTGGGTATTGTTTTGTTCACCCCTGCCATTTTTGAGCACTCGCATTGCCAGGTACCCTGAGGACCGTATTTGTTTTGTCCACTGTCTCTGCCCTCATGGAACCCAAAGCCCTCTGCCAGGCATTATGCAAGGCCCCGTGTTGGGGCATGGAGATGAGCGAGCAACACTCCCTGCCTCATGGAGCTTGTAGGTGGGTGGGGAAGATGAACCTGCAGATAACAGTTTTAGTGCTTGGACAGAGGGAAATGCAGCGTGTTGTGCACATGCAAGGGAAGGAGAGGTCGGTTATGGTGGAGGAGGGGCCATTGGGAAGACATCAAGGGACAGGTGACATTACAGAACAGGGGCATCTGAGACGTGGACTCCAGCTAAGCTTCTGACAGGGGAGAAGAGAGTATTAGGAGGGAATGGCAGTGAGCAGGGGCCTGGAGAGAAAGTCTGAGGTGTGTCAGGGAAGAGCAAATGCCTAGAGGATTGTTCATCTCTGTGAACCTGATGCCCTGCTCCTGGGCTGCTTGGACTTGGTGGGATGGGATGGCTAGGGGGGAGGAACTTCAGTGAGGAGGCCAGGAAGACAGCGGCACAGAGTTCCCAGGTGGACCCTCAGGCCCAGCATGCTGTGGAGCTGGCTGGTGAGCAGCCTCCTGCTCCTGACCCTGCCTTTCCCCACCTTGGTCCCAGCGTCCTGCCATTTCTCCGGAGAATTTCCTCTCTGCATCCTGGACACCCTGGTTCAGCCCCGGCACCCAGCAGGACTGCTCCGAGTACCTGAAGTACCTGCTGGATCGGTAAGGGAGGCCAGGCCTGGGGGAAGCCCCTTCCTTTCACGCTATTTTGCCTCTTTCTCGAAATGGGGATGCTACACTGCACTTGTGGAAGGTTCAGAGAAGCGGTGCCATGAGTGTGAGGGAGTTTTGGAGATGCTGACCTGAACCATGACCTGGGAGTGGTGTGTGTGTGTATAACACTGTGCTGTACTTGCCTGAGTGTGTACGTGTGTGCTTTTGTCACAGATCTGGGGGCATGTGTTCGTACAGATATGTATGTAGCAGGTTTGCGTGCCTGTGTGCAGTAAATATGTAGTGTGTGTGCCTGGCTTTGAGTGCATGGAATATATACATGCATGTATATTCCCTGTGCAGACTCCTGCATGTGTGTATGTCTAAATGTGTAGCAAGCCGAGTAAGGTAGGTGGTGTGAATCAGGCCGGTGTGCTGGAAACAGACCCGTGTGTGCGCTAAGACTCTGCTCCCTGCCCCAGGCTGCACGAAGAGGAGAAGACCGGGACCAGGATCTGCCAGAAGCTCAAGCAGTCCAGCTCGCCGTCCCCGCCAGAGGAGCCCCCTGCGCCCAGTTTGACCTCGGTGGAGAAGATGTTCGGAGGCAAGATCGTGACTCAGATCCGCTGTCTCCGCTGCCTCAATGTCTCCTCCAGGGAGGAGGCCTTCACGGACCTCTCTCTTGCCTTTCCGCCGCCTGAGCGCTGTCGCCGCCGCCGCCTGGGCTCCGTCATGCTCCCTGCAGAGGGCCTGGGAGCCCCGGAGCCCCCGCCGCCCGCAGCCCAGGTCCCGGGCAGGGCGGGTGCTCAGAGGCAGAGGAAACACTGCATCACGGCCGACGGGCCCCCGACCGTCCTGGGCATTGAGGGCCCGGGCCCCCAGGGGCCCGCGGGGCAGAGCAGTCCGGAGAAGGCGGAGAAAGAGGGGGACGCCGAGGAGGAGCGAGGAGAGGCG